AAAAAGGCTATCTCCACGTGCAGTCAAATTAATGATAACACTGATAAACAACACTACTGGTGCCAGATCAGAAGCCACTACCCTGAAACATGTTAAACAGGGCACAGTCAGGCACTGAAAAATGCTATCAAGTTTAACTTTATTCTTCTCAGGATGATATCAAAACCCCAAGCATGCTCTCTGGAAGTTAACTTAAACTTAAACCCCTCATTGCTCTCTGGAAGTTAACTTAAAATTGCAGCATTTGAAATTTTGCTGCTGCTACTAGAAGCAAAATCAAACACATGCTTCTAGGACAGTAATATGAATAAACAGCTGTGAACGAACAGCATAGCAAGGAACAACCTGTTCTTATTACTGTGCAGAGATATGTTGAATGAATTATTTAATGCATGTTCAGACAGAATTCTGCAACTGATTTACTGTATATTTTAATACAAAACTGGTTTGTTTGTTAAACTGAGTATGAGCAAATGACAAAATCTTTATAGAACTGATTTTTATATGGGACATACACCTTATGAAATTCCAGAGCATCTTCATACACGTTCTACCTGAAGCTGTAAGTACAGTTGGAAATAAACTAAGAAACCCAGAAAAATTTCAGTAGATATTTTCACACACTCACATACACGCTAAGCCATAACAACCTACACTTTACCCCATAATATCACTTAAAACAGCCCATAAGCATTTGTAAAAGTTCATGAAATACAGTTAGTGTCAAATGTGAGTTACTCAGTCTGAATAAACAGTTACATGAAGTCACACATCCTATAACAGGAACAACATATTATCAGACAATTTCAAACTACCTTTGTTTTTGTAAAGGACACACAATGATCACTTAAAAAAAAGTCAATATACTATAGAGGGTAATGAGTAAACCTTCCCCCTGCTTTTGAAAATATCCATCAAATGGCATTTGAATGATAGCAGGTAATGACATATAGCTGGCATTATCAGAGTTTCTTATGTAGAAAATTAAAACAGTAAATGCTAGGAAAAGGGCAACAGAATGAAGATGGGAATTCCGCTCTGAGGTACTCGGCACAGCAGATGACCTCTGGGAAATAAAGATGTCCAGCTGTCTTGACAGAAGGTGAAAAAAACAACTTTCTTTTCTGGCATTTAAATCACCTGAGCATCCATCACGTGTGTGACAGCAAACTACAGACAACTCAGCAAGAAGAACTTGCACGAACATTCAGCACTGGCTTAACACTGCTCCTGCCAAAAGCCTCAAGGGTGTAGAATTACTGCTCAGTGATTTTGAAAAAAAAAAAAAAAAAGAAGAAGAAAAAAAATACTGACTGTAGTGTGAGCACTCTCAAAGATTATTTTCTTTCTGAAAATGCTACAGGACTTTACATGTAACCCTGGAAAACACCAACATCCAAAAAATTTGAGGCCAAATGCTTCATCCACAGACACTCCAGCTCTGGTGCAGCAGAGAACACTTACATCCTGAGGCAAGAGTAAGGCCTCTAGAACAGCACTGCACTCCAGGTAAATAAAGCATTACAAACTAGTTGATCGTAACTACAGGGTTAAGCTGTAAATTTAACAGGCATATTCAAGAAAAAAAAAAATTAGTTACAAGCTTATTTGTGATAGAAAAAGGTTTTCCTCAGGTTTTCGTTTCTAGCATCTCCTTCATTACCAGTGTCACAGCACAGACATGATCAAAATGTTTAATTATCTTCCAAGAGAGGCAGAGTTGTGCAAAGCAACACTAAGCCTTCTGGTGACAAAACCAGGAAGATTTTCCCAGGGCAGACATGTTAAAGAAAGCCTTAGAACAGCCTTTCAACAGGGTGATTTGGGCTAAGGTGCCCATTAGCTGCAAAGTCAGAGCTGAGATGGTGCTGCACCAGCAAAGGCTGCAACAACAGAGGTAAAGGAAGCAAAAGTTCTTCAAGTCTTGTGTTCACCACTGCCTATCTTGAGGTAACCCTTAAATAATATTCTAATCCTCTTTGCATTCACACACAAACCTCTGTCACTTAAACTACACATACTGTAAACTCAAGGTTTTTGGCTTAATGAAGCACCAGGGTTGCTAATGGACAGGATACCAGTGGCTATGCTATAAGCTACAGATTTAATTAGATCTTCCATTGAATAATTTATCTGTATTTCACGAGAGCAATTTGATTATAAATACTGCTGTTCTGAGAGCCATTTACCACCTTCTGAAAACTCTTAGACATAAAGAATAAGACGCTTTAAACAAAGAAAAAAAAAATCTGCTATTCTGTTACATTTCAAATTTCAGCCATCCTTGATATTTCCTGTGAATAACAGAAGGGTTCAGTTAAGCAGCAGTTAGGATGTAACATACTATATAGGTCCATTTTATTCAGAGGTTTGCTACGTATAAAAATCAGACTGAGTAGCTTATATGACCAGTCATAAGAACACTAAGTTGAAACTCTAAGGACATGTAAGTAAGAATCAAAAAGGGGATCTGAACAAGTACATTATTTTTATTAAAGCTAAAACATTACTCACACTACTAAAACAAAAACCAAACCACTCTTCTCAGAAATTAAAGGAAAACACATTCATACAAATATTTGAAAACTTCAGGTTATGTGAAAGAACAAAAATAAATTTGTTAAAGTATTTTTTCCTAATCCAGCAACAGCGCAAACTCAGTTCCTCCCAGGATGAGACCCCAGTTCTTCCCCCCACCCCGTGCATCATCACCACTTGAGCAGGGCAGTAGAAGAATCCCCAAAGGGGGAAAAGAAAAAAATCTGGAACAGGGCTAAATCAGAGCTGGTAACCAACAACCACTGTCCCTGCCCCTCTGCTGAGGCAGCCACTACAGTGACACTCTAGAAAGGCAAATAAAACCAGGAAGTGCAGAGCAGCACACAGAGTTCATTTAATCACAGCTGCAAAATGCAAAAGGTACAAAAATGACGTTTGACACAGGCCAAACTGGTTCCTCGAGTGTCCACCATATGGTTCCACCATAAGTGTGGAAAACACACCTCACTACAGGATACACCTCTTACCCCCAAAGAAAAACAATGCAAATGAAATAAAATCCTCCTTTTTCTCGTAAGTATACACAATTATAATTAATTACAAGCTCTAAAACCAAGCTGTGTGCAGGGCAGCTTGGATAAGCTATTTTGTATAGTTTATTGTTCATTATTAGATGGAAAGAGCTGTAGAGGCAATTTCAAGCCAAGGGAATAATCTAGCACTGGCAATGCAATGGGATTGTCTACATCTAAATGTTACATGTCTGAGTGAAGCTAGGGATGTAGGTTGTCTTTGTGCTGAGCATCGGAGAGAGAAACTTCTGTCTTAAAACATAATGTGATGACTGGATACACTGTCCTCCAGAGATGTGGGTCTCATCACTGCAAAAGCAACTACACCCTTCTCTGACTGGCTGTAGATGACTGGCTTCAATCAACTTCCTTCCTTTCTTATGGTAAAAGGAAAGTGTTCATTAGTTGCTTTGTTTTGTGTTTTTTTAATTACAAAAGCCAACAAAAATACTATTTCTCCTTGAATGAATCTATAATGTCTCCCCTGGAGTTTGCTTTATCTTTGTGTAACACTGCTGAAATCAGACTCAGCAACATCCTGAAGTGACACCCATGATGGGGGAAAAAAAAAAAAAAAAAAAAAAAATAGTTCCTTTTTATCTTTAGAAAACTTTGAATTATGCCTATGCTAATTTCTGAGGATGAAAGACCGTATCAGCATCTTTAAGTATAATGCACGGAGGTAAAACAAATTTCTCCAGGACAAAGTCACTGGATCAGAATGCAAACAAGCAGAAAACTTCAAACTTTTCTAAAAGTTAATCTGAAAGGAAAAGCTATAAGAACTTTAACAATATCCTGCTTTCCCAGGAGATTCAGGAAGGATGCTAGAATATGTGATTATGGACCAAATTTCAGGGCAGCAATCACAGTAACACAATGATGCACATAATGTAACTATAGAGAAGCACATAACGTAACTATGTAGAACTGTTACCGTAAGGGTTCAGGGCTTTTTGTTTGCTTGTTTGCAGTTTGGGAGAAGAGAATGAAAAATTGTTCAGTTGAAATGGAGCCAGGGAATATAATTATGTAATACTTAGTAATCAGCATGGAGAATTATTATTTGATCAGGAAAGTACAAAATGGACTACTCTTTTTGAACAGAACTTACTAATATCGTTGAAGTGGAAGAAATTACATTTATTTAGAGGAATGCAAAAAAAGCTCAAGGACTAGCTCAGCTTTGTTTGTAGTTTAAATAACGTGTTATTTTAATGTCCTTTCTCATGTAAGATTTAAGAGATCATAATTTGAGATAGAAGTCGGAAGTCTGTGGCCTGACCATCAAGGTAAACGTATATAAATGCTATTAAGTCCAAAATGGAGCACAATAGCATTACAGTGCATCACAGTGACTGTAATTTGTGGAAAAACAAGCTGTGATTATATTTATTTCTGGATGCACAATACTTACATCAGTATTGTACATCAGGGCCAAAATCTAGGTCACTAAAAGCTTTTTGCATCATATGATAACAACCAGAGTCTTTAAGATCCTCTCCACTAACGTTAATAAGCTTCACCTCAGGCCTTAAATAGAAAGCATGAGCTTGTTGTAGGGAAGAAGTAAGGAAAAAACATTGGTGCATATTTGAAAGAAGAACAACATTTAAGAAAAAATAACATGACCAATTAAGTTCTGCAAAGAGAGAGCAATCTGAAATGTAGATGCTGTACAAGAAACAGGGCAGGAGAAAGAGATGGGAGGTAGAATGGAAGAGATAGTCACATAAATGTGTTTGAGCAGCTCAGCAAGATCCTGCCATAGTTCTCTTCCCCTGGACAGGTTGTATCAGTCAAAGTACGAGCTCCATTAAAAAAAAAAAAAAAAAATCCACTTTTTTATGAAAGAATAAAAAATATATTCTTCTGTAAAGTAGGTATCAGAATTGGAGAGTCTTTTAAATTGGCACTGCAGGCAAAAATACTTGGAAGAAAAATACATTAAAAAAAAAACATTAGACCTTAACATAGTTAACAATTTGAAAACAAAATACGGAAAATTATTCAGCTTGGGCCTTCACCTGTAAAAATTATAATGAAATTACACTAATACCAAACTCTAAGACTGCTGTGACTGGACAAATAAGCTACAGACTAGAAAAGTTAAAACTTCTTGCAAAAACATCATTTCATATTTTCATACAAATCCTAATAACTCCTCAGCAGTTTGAAAGATCATTATTTCTTGACTCAGTTTCTATTTTGCTTTGACTTTTTATGCTGTGCATGGCAGCTCCTTAGCTAACAAAAAGCTGCCCTGTGCACTTTGGTCTACTGCTGATGTTTTGGCTGGCAAATATTATGCTACAATCCCACAGAATAGTCAAGGTTTTATCACATGCTGTTTTATTTAAAGCAGGGCAAAGGCAAAGACTGGAAGTGCTAGTATCAGTTCATTTTTAGGAACTTAAATTCCTCAATGCAGTTATACTGCTATATTTCTATTTAAATATTAAGCTAGGAAATCGGCAAAGTGCTTCACTGTATGTAACTCCCAGACAAGTATCAACAATAAGTACAGGCATTTTACCTTAAAAAAAACTAAAGAAACATTGTTTTAGCAACATAATCATACAACTGTAATAAAAGCAGACAATGCAAACACCACTTACAGGCTCCCATATCAATTATTTAAATAGAGGACAAGCATCTAAAATTTGCAGTTATTTCTTTCAGAAGTATTAAATCCAGATTTTCAAGGAAGACAATGATTTCACATCTAGATATCTGCAAAAGGAAAATAAAGCCTGTTTCCAAGACAACCACATTAGTTTCCAGACTACTGGATACCAAGAACATGAAAAGATTATATATCCCAGGTGATGACACCTGAAAAAACTTTCCACACGTTCTTCTACTCAATTTATACCTAATGAAGCACTTCAAGTGTCCAAAAGAGACTCAGTATTATTTTTCTATTACTCGCATTCCTATATGCTCATTAGAGCCAAAACCTTAAACTAATACAGGAACAAAGAAAACCTCAAGTATAAACAAAAATTAATCTGCTAACAGGCACCTTGCATTGATTTCCCTGACACCAGAAATAACCTCTCTACTGAGGGTGCACCGAATTTCTTGCTTTAATAGAACTGTAAAAGAACAATGTGATTGAATTAATTTAGTAAAAAGTCATGGGCCATATTTAATAAACAGACCAGAAGGTCATTAGTGTAAAAGTCAGATCCATCCATTAGGACAAACAGGCAGAAAGTCCCCTAGTTCTAAGTCAACATATTCTACGTTACCTGTTCCAATGCAATACATGGGATACTAATTTAGCAAAGCAAATCTGGCAACAGAAAATACAGAGTTGGCTGACATTCTTGGCCACTCTTACCAAGTTCCCTCTAGCAGCAGAGGAAAGAGACAAGCCCTCCCTAGATGCTTGTGGAGGCATCTAAAACAGACAAGCAAGGGGTCATTAAAGTTTCTCTACCTGCTTCTTCAACATAGCATGAACATTTTGAGGTTTCTCTTCACAGAGCGCTACCTAGGAGACTGGCAATTAATAGAAGAAAGCAGGTGGACTTGTATGATTTCAAAAAGAAGAACTACTGCCAATGGCAAACACAGGTGAATTCTTATTTAAGGGTGCTACTTACCGAAGTATGATGTACAGTCTGGTACTTTTGAAAGTCCTACTCTATAGAATTAACTCGGTGTATCTGACCACAGTCATCTGGTTACCATTCAGTACTTCTTGCTGTTAAACAGCAGCAATAGGGCATCTCTATGAAAATGAATGCATATTGATGTAACTGACATTTTCCTTAAGACAGCTAACAACATGCTGGTTTATATTTGCAAACTCGCTACATGGAAAGAAGACTTATTACTGCAATTAACTTCACAGTACTTAATAAAAAGCAAAAAAGATTAATTCATTAGTCTTTGTGCTAGATGCAGTGCAAATTTTTAAAGTTCTTGTTGCTACAGCAAAAGATGCTAAACGACATTCAGGTTTTAATCCACACCATACCTCTGTCAAGTTAAGTTTGTAATAAAAATTGTTTAAAAGACTCCCATATTCTCCAAGCAAGGGAACAAATCACAGCATTTCTTTTTTCTTTAGTTTTATCTTAAAATTACAACAGAAAGTTCCTTACTCTTTTTTATTTTCCTAAAAATAGTGAGATAACATGTACACAGCTAGAAAGCCCTCTGATACAATAGTGCCCTCTGATACAACAGTGCAGACAAAAAAAGCCAGAGAAATTAAAAGTTCCCATTCTAAATATAATTCTAAAATTGTGTTGATTTTTTAGCAATTTCTTAAGGTTAAACACTCTAAAGCCTACAAATCTATGTATCTTACCAAGGTTTTTTAACGTGCAGTTTTTCAGACAATCTGAACTACTTCAGAATTAGCCACAGAAGTTAAATGAAGAAAACAAATGTGTCATCAGTATCTTCAAGAGTTGCTATAAAGGAGCATGCATCTCTACTGATTACATCAGAGCCCCAAAATCTGAAAAAGCCAAAAACTTCTGTAATCACCTGCAAGTTGCTGTCTCTTTATGCCTTTATCCAACGGCTCTGGCATTTAAGGGGATTTTGATAGCGTCTCTCCCAACACAGCAAGCAGGGCTGGGCTATCACAAAAGACTGGAGGGATTAAGTACAAAAGGAAAAAAGGAAAATTCACTGATCTGCAGAGCAATTTTCAAAATTCAGTAAAGTACTGTAGAGACACCTAATTTGAAAGAACTTCTGGAAAACTCCATAAAATATTCTGAACTGTTCTCTGGGAGATAAAGCACATACCTAATTCAAGCCTGAACATGTTCTTCTGTATTCTCTATACAACAAATACTTCAAAATTAACTCACCTAAATCTTGTTCCACGCCTTTTTTTTTTTTTTTTTCTGATGTTGCAGGAGGCTTTCCAACTATTAAGGGGGTCTTGCTTTGAATTAGTAAATGACAGAGAAAACAGGGTATGGCAGTAATAAGGGATGGAAATCAAGTAAGTCAGGAAGCTTAGAGTTCTACATAATTCATTCTGAAATGAACACTCAATTAACAGAAACTTAAGCTTTTGCAACAAAAATCCAGACTGACTACTTATTCCAAGAAATTCTCACCCACCTAGCATGTCTCCTTTGTGCAAGCACAAGCTGTCTGGCCCCAAGCAAAAATGCATGTTTAACTGGAACAACAGTTAATTTACCTCCATGATTTAAAGGAAAGCATCACAAAAAAAAAAAAAAAACATGAAAACACCAGAGCCACGAAAATATCAAGGCAACCTTTCAGAAACAGAAATGCACCACATCAAGACTAGTCAAGTGGGCTTAGCCCTGTGCTCTGGCTGTCAGTATCCCAGGTGCTTTCACAGCTGAGTACTGCAGGCTTCAGCTACGGGTAAAGCATTAACAATTAGAGCAGAAGCTGCCTGCCTGTAGAAAAGGTATCAAATGGAAAGTGTAGTATATTGGTTCTACTTGGGTATCACCCCCAATATAAACTACTTCTGCTCTAAGTGGTACCATTTAATCATTTTGGTATGATACATCTGCATCCGCTCAGATGCTCTCTCCACACTAATGCAATGATACTTTTATCATTAGTGTCAAACTCCTGCACTGTTTATACTGTACTCAGAAACAAGGCCTTTCTCTTCTGACACACAGCTTTCAAACTGATTATATAGTAAGCTCCAGAAAAACCTCAGCTTGCCATCCACTGATGACATGAATAAATAGGTTGCCTCAAGGTGTCTGTCAGCCAGAAAAAACTACAACAATTCAAGAGGTTTCATTTGTGTTTCAAGACTTTCCAACATTAAGGAATGATCTCAATTTACATTTGCATAGCTTTAGAATTACTCTGGACTAGTTTAAAGCAAAGCAACACAATGCTATGAGAACAATAAAAACTTGAACTATTTTTGAGGTGTTTATACATTTTAATGAACTTTGCTTGCTAGCCAAGAAAAATACGGAAAACAAAGTCTTGGGTACATCTGCCCACAAGTAGTTATGTGAGAATCAGGATGACTTCTTGTCTCACTCTCCACTCTAAAGAGGGCTTTTAGAGCTACCTGCTTAAGGTAAACTCCCAAATTAAGCGACTCTCCTTTTTAATTAGCACAGGATTCACTGTAGAGTTAGGACAAGACAGTAAACATGAAAAAACTCTCAAATAAGTTGGCTGGAAACACCAGCAGAATTATCTTGAATAACATTTACATTAGATACCACCCAGCCATGCTTCTCCTCGAACCACACTGATGGTAAATTACAAGGTTTTCATGAGCAGAGGTTTATTTCAGTCCTAAAGGGGGGGGTGGATATTAGCATGCTTTGCTGCCCTGCAGACTGTTTCATGTGCCTTTGGAAAAAAAAAAAATCTGGCTAAATAGCAAATAAAATAATAACCATAATCCTCCTCCTCCTAGTAGTGTCAACCCCCATGCATTTGTGAAGCCACCAGTCCAGGGGAGAGCTTAGACTAGTCAACAATACATCTGTTCAGTGATTATCCATGTCATGAAGATGCAGCAAGTGAGCACAACACAGATGCAGCAGGGCACAGCTCTGAGCACTGGCCCTGCAGAGAAAGGCATCAGGTTGCAAGGGTTGCTCTACCATTCCAGCACATGCTCCATTTCTATCACAGAAAAGATAGGTAGACTAGAATAAACAGGTGTTTATGGCAAAAACCACTTGTGGGCAGCTCACCTAACTTCCCCTGTGGGTGAAACATTGCAGACAGCTGCCTGGGCTGGTGTCAGGGCCATGGCCAGGCATCACCCTGGTGTTCTGACCATACTGTGCTTCCCAGATCACGCCAGCTCCCTGTGGACCTCTGACCTGCAGGAACACGTACTAAGGTAAACTCAACCATTAAATCCACTTGCTGTTACTATAGTGCAGGACTAGCCTTTACTATTGATCACTGCTCTAGAAAATCAGAAAAAAAAAAAGTTATCTTCTCTATGTCAAAACATTGTTTTAACATTAATTTTCGATTTCTTAAAAGGAGAACACTAAAAACAAGACCGTACACCAATGAAGGTGGGTGGAGGCAAAGGGATCATTTGTATTCTACTGTGTTTATTTACAAGAAACATGCAACAAATCTCATCTTCACTCAACTGATTGCGATATCCGCTAGAGCAATGATTTACAAATAACAGCTTTGAAAAAATATCTTCTGTTGCAGAACCCAGCTTAGTAATGCTTTATTTCAGCGAGCAGGTGAAGAACTTCCCTGGAAAAGTTCTGCCACAATTGCTGTCAAAATTATCACACCTATTTGAAGTATCCTTAGGATCCTACCTTCCCTCAAAAATGCTGCCTACAAGAAATTCAATCACAAGTGAAAACAAACAGAAAAGTTCCATTACTCAAGAAAAAGTAAACCTTTGGCAAGTAACTTGGTAACTTGCCAGCAATAGATGCATTACTGTACCAAAAGCTTTAATCAACAAATGGAATATGCTAAATAGTACAAAGAGTCATGAGAACTTAAACTCGCAAAACGGAACTGAACATCTGAAGGTGAAAAAAAAAAAGACAAAGCCAAATTAAAACAAATTCAGTGCTCGATCGCACTGCAATTAAATCCATTACACACTTTTGCATGCTTTCTGCTAGAATAAACAAATTCAAATAAAGAACTGTTGGATATCAATCTAGCTAATGCATCCTAAAATTGTAATGCCATGGAAGAGTGGAACTAAGTCTTTTGGATACTACGGAATCGATTTTCAGAAAGAAAAACAGCACAAACTCATATGCTTAATATATTCCAATCTATACTTGTTACTCTGAATTAAAAGTATATATTTGTACAAGGGAACAAACAACTAAAAACAAAACAATAAAAATTAGTAATTATGTAGACAGCATTCACATCAGTATAATACTGGTTTCCAAGTCCTTGCTAACTGCCCTAAAAGTCCTTCCATCACAGTTATACTTCATGCTGCCTAGCACACTAACTCTCATCTCAGCCATTTATGTAATTTTTATAGCTGACTTTGTGTCGCAATCTAAAAATCAGATAAACTAAAGCATACTAAACCTATTGCTGAAATATAAATACACAGCCGACATCACACAGAGTTACATTGATATGTAAAGTAAACAAATTATTAAGCACAACCCACAACAGTATGATTTTCAGTTCTTAAGGACTTGCTGCTCTTGGACTGAAAACAAATTATTAGGTGAACTGCAAAGGATACCAATGTGTGTCGGTGATCACATGCTTTCAGAGTACTCCGCACTTGTACTTCAGTACCGTTTAGTCTTGAATGCTGATTTAAATTATGATTTTCTGACTTTTATCGCTGTAGTAAGTTTTGCACCCAAAAAATACCTGAGCAAAATTTACAAGCAAAACTTCCTAAAGAATACGAGTTCACCAAATTAGGCTCAACCACAACAAGCATAAATTAGAAATGCCCTAATCTACAAACTGGCATTACACAAAGAGAAATAAAGTCTATTTTTTGTCTGCTTGACCTTGGGGTACTGCGGAAGACGACAGTAGCTCTCACTATTGCAGAGAACTCAGTTCTTCTACACCCATCATTACCAAGCAAGTTTAATCAAGCTTCTTCAGGCTTCAAGATCTTCACCCATTCAACACCCTCTTACAGGCACTGTGCACAATGTCATAGTCTCATCTGCTGTGGCCTTTGAGAGCTTAAACTTGGCCCATGACCCACAGAAATGGGTCAGTATAAGGGAATGATGAGGAAGTGTGCTTACTTGCTTGATCAATGCAAGGAGCAAGTATGAATGACAGCTTCCTTATGTTCTTCTTGCTTATGTTCTCAAGAGGACACTGAAAGAGTTAATACAAGAGAACACTCTAATTGAATGGAAACAGAAATTAAATTTTAAAGAAATAGTAGTATTCAAATAACGTTTTTCAGATCTAGGATGCAGAGTAACAAGACACAGGTGTGGCAATCCCTCCTGGCTCTAAAGACAGCAACGAGGTTTTTTTGTTGTCCTTCCAGGAATACATTTTCCACCTATTCAGAGCAGAACATTCACAACTGCTGTATTCCGTAGATGAAATTGCATGACATGCATTTCCCCTTATTTCACCAGACCAGAAAAAGAACAGCACTACAGAGTTCAGAACTTAGAACAGCTCCGATGTGCACACAGGTTCCAGACATAATGACTTTTGATTTTGAGAAGTTATGTAAATCTAACAGTTGATGAGACTCCGATACTGCAAGAGAGAAAGAATCCAGAAAAAAAGCACCACTTGCACTTGACAGCAGAGGAGTCAGAGCTTTGCCTGCAGTAACAACTTAAAACACTGCCAAGGAATGCTCTGAGAAGGTGTCATACCTCAACCACCCATGATGGGAGCCTGGTGCCAGTCCCTTGCATAGGTTTTGATTAGGGATAACTAGCTTTCTCCCAGACAACTCCCCAGCCCAGGCAGTGAGCTGGCACAAACTAGGAACTGCTCCCAGTAGGCAGTTTTGATGTGGCCACCCTGCTCTGGAGGGTAACAGTGCAGCCACATGGACATGGGCTGTTCCCCTGCCAGCTGCAAAGCAGCCCCAGGCACATCTGATTCAGCAGTACAGACACAGCTTTAGCCTGGCAGTGCTGAGGCCAGTAAAACCAACAGATCCCACCATGCTCCTCAAGAGGTGTATTCCCAAGTCAAATGCTTATTTCACACACTGCTTGGTGTGAAAACTTTGGCTGATAATCTTCCCTGTGATGTGCAGTTTTCGTATTGGGGTAGTTTTTTCCAAAAAATTATCACTCAGCCTGTGAAAACTCCAGGTGACAGAGTATACCATCTGAAAGGGACTAGATTTAGCAGTATGTTATCAAGCAGCATTAATATAAAGGTTAGCTTCAATGCAAACAGGTAAAAGTGTAAGTTCTTCAATTGCAAAATTCAAACTCCTTTCTCATAACCAAACACTCTGATACATGAATGACTTTACTTTCATACCTCAGTAAAAGAACTGAAAGGAACTTCACCTTCACCAAGTTTCCCATGCTTTCCAGGGAGGCAAGCAACAGCCAGAGATTGGTGGGCTCGTTGTTAATCCTTACTGTTTTCCTCCTTATTATAAGCAATATCACAACTTACTTCCAGTGTAAAAATTCCACTATTTTCTTTTTTCGATTTTCACTGTCTTCCCTTGTGTATCTAGTTTCCTGTTTTATCCATAAGCAATACTTACGAGTACTTTAGATAAAAATACTAAAACTGTGTTGTACTGAATACAACAAGAAGTTCCTTACTGGCTTAAGCAAGATACAAATCTGTCTCCTATGTGCAAATTTTCAATTCTACTTAGTAAAAAAAAAAAAAAAAAATTACCACTATACTAAGTATTCCTCATGTTGAATCTGTTTAGTTTTATTAACAGAAGAAATACCTTTCAAGTATCAGTGACGATACAGCAACAAAATTCCTCAAGTTTGTTCTCCACAGAGTATGCTACAAAAAGTACTCAGTGGTCTTTAAAAAGGCCAGTCATGGCATAACCAGGTGTATGTTCAATAACAGAGTCTGAAGGTTGAATGTATATTAATTTAGCAAAGTCAAAACGAAACAGCAAGAAAACTACAAAGCATTTAATAGA